CCCCCCCCCCTCCACTTACATGCGCCCCTCCTTTACACAAACACATATTCGACAGGTCTGTTCACCGTTACGTGTATCCACTGCAAATATCCTCCCAACCATCTTCTTCCGACGAGGGGGGGGGGGGGGTGGGGCTTGCCTCCACATGACATACGATTACGGCGCGAGGGGCTGAAATCTCCACTATCCTTAAATTGCTAAATAAAGATCTACAGGTAGGGATTGATTGAGTGTAGTACGCACACCGCGCTGTCATTCAATGCCCCATGTAACGGGAACATTAGCATCGCTAGCAGCAAGAAAACCGCCAGCCTAGCTCCTCAACTGCCCCAGTTAAATACATTAATATAAATGACTCTCTCTTACATGCTAGTGAACCCTCCCCTGCACTTTTGCTCAAGAATCTTGTCTCTTTGAAGTTTTCGACCTTTTTTGTTGTTGTTATGGTCCTTGGTTTTCTATTCATGGTCTCTACGTTGTTGCTCTGTCTGTACGCATGTTCACTTTTAGCTAATTGTGAATGTCATCAATGAACGTGTAACAATTCCCACTTGAAGCTTCCTCATAGGAAAACACTCAGCCTAATGAACCTATCATTCAATCATTTAACTAACAGAATGTCAATTAACATTATAGAATAATTCCTTCAAAGCAATGTATATGATCTAATCATACAAGCTGATAACAATGCAATACAATTTCAGAAATCCTTTACATTAAATTTCCTTCAAATTCTTATATGTTATCATATACTCATATACTCATATACATGAACGGTTCTATATCACAACATGGTTTAATCCCTATCCTCATCATCATCACTATTACTCTCCTCCTTCCCCTCCTCCTCCTCCTCCTCCTCATCAATACTAATCATTTCTCAATCTATGAGAAACCTTTCCTAAACCCTGACTAAACACTGCCGAACACACACACACCGCAGTCTTTTATGATGCAATAAACCATCAATTCTTCGGCAAATGAGCTCGTAATACCCTTTTAATGACCATGAAATTGGCAACACCTTCCACAAGCGACTGCTCAAATCCGCTGATTAATTAGAATCATGGGGCCCCTTCGCCTGCCAAGTGTTTCTTTTCACTGAAACAGCCAAACGTGTTCTTCCTCAAAACAATCAAATGACTCCAATGTCACGTCCTCCCCATTGCTCCATTACTGTAGACTGTAAAGATTCTACTTTCCTATTAGAATTAACACTGTAACAACCTGTGCTATTGTACTATGAGCAGTGTTTAGTAGCTCAATAAATCGTGTTCACAAAGAAGAACAAAACAGATCTCGGCACAAGCAATGGCTCCCCAAAGAAAAGTAGTCGACAGATAATAGAAGAAAAAAAGAGAATAGGAAAAAAAGGGAGAAAGAGAAGGAAAGAGAAGGAAAGAGAAGGAAAGAGAGGGAAAGAGAAGGAAAGAGAAGGAAAGAGAGGGAAAGAGAAGGAAAGAGAAGAAAGAGAGGTAAAAGATGCTCAGGGTACAAGACTAAATGAAAAGGAGTATTAAAAGGCAAGAAAGGGGCTGGATGATCATTGGAATGAGAAAAGATAAAAAACACAAAAACTATAGGCCCCATTAAACACAAATATAAGAGCACAACAATCTTAATGGACGAACGAAAGACCCATAAATAAAAAAAAACTATTAGGGGCAATCAATCCATGTTTTCCACAATGTAATTGTCTCTTTGACCCATTAAAGTCTAAAAGCAAGAAAGAACACAGGATAACGTCCAGTACATGTTAATGAAAGTGAAGCAGTCTCAAACGGATTAACTTTTATCTAGGGCGCAACCAGCCGGCCTTTACAAAGCATCAACATCGGATCGCCTGATTGGACCTTTAAAGGCAATGAGGTTGTTACCATGGTGATGGATGAGTGATGAGGCAAGGAAGACATGGAGGAGGATGGGAGCAGGATGGAAATTGACTCATTACCATGATGGATAATTGTCGTTAATCTCGCTGTCGTGAGATTCCGACAGATTTGAGGGGAGGCGTTCAGTTTTTCCCTTCATGTAATTTTTCAGCTCCTTCCCAAATCACCCGCAGGGCGCATTTGGGGAAGGCGTAGTGCGACTTCACGCGAACTGATTACAATTAATCAATTACTCAGCTTTAGGGATAACAATGATGATCACATGTGAAGCAGCCTGATTGAATATATCTTCAAAGGTGTGACGTATTTATCAATTCACATGCATGACTTCTATCATGATAGCTACTCATAATAACATCTCCGTATTTTCCGTAACATACTGTATATTTAAATGTAAATGTGAAAGACATATATGCATTATAACCACATCCTTATGAAATTCTCAAAATATCTCCCAGTTCCTGTAGACTTACGACATTACATATCCTCTTAAAGATAATGACAAATGCAGATGTCAGCACACAGCAAAATGGGTGAAAATCAGGAATGAACACTTATAAATTGCACTGATCACTTCGAACCATTGTCCACAGCCCCCTTGTAAAATTCTTATTTTGTTGTCATGGGAACAGGCGAGAATTTGGTGAAGTTGACCTGGATCAAGGTCAAATCTGGAGAAGCAACTGTTGTGGTTTATTGGTTGAGTCTGGTCTACAGCTAGAGGGGTCATTAACTTGTAATTTAGATTTGACAGAACTTGAATGGCAGTAAACCATTAGGGAGGGGCAGTACAGAATCATCTCGTTATGTGAGGGGGGGGGGGCAAGGTAGTAGATCTAGAAGAATTACCAAGTAGAAAGAAAATGAAAACAAAGAATTTTTGGAATGCCTTTCATAATATGATTAAAGCAACACTGTGCAAATTTGCTATTACATTGATTTAGCTGCCGATACTACCCCATAAATACATATGTGTGGAGAAGTCTTCCTGTGACTAAGTTTTTCTGATTGAAAATGCTACTAAGAGTCTCTTTAAACTAAAGCAATATTTTAAGCTGAGAGGCAGAAAGACATTTACTTGTCAATTGGCATAGATTAGCATCCTTTTGGCACTCAGCAAAAATGAAATCTTATGAAAGTCGAATTCCAACCTCCCTCCCCCCCCAAAAAGTTAGAATTTTAGTGAAGAGATTGATTGATGCTCTATTCAAGATTAGTGAGTTAGGTGTTACGTAAAAGAAGCCGTGTCCATCCTTAATTTTTACCCCTTACTTTCAAGACTGCATGATCTTTTAGATAGTTTTGCTTTGATTTTCTACAAGGAAAAACAAGAATGGTGTGGGCGTCACACCAGAAGAAGGAAAAAATGAGTAAAAAACTTGATCAGCCAGACTCCTGTTGCTACAGTAACCAAATATGTTTGCCACAGATGTTTCAAATATCAGGGAGAGCTAGCGCAGCTCCACCAGGCTAGCTGAATCCAACACATAACACACAATCTATTGAACTATGACCTTTCTTCATACACCAAGTGCTGGGAGACGAGACGAAAAAAAATATGCAATATGGGGAGAGAGGAGAGAGGGAATAATATAGATTTTCCCCTCCAAAAGAAACTGGAGTGGTTTAGATTAAAGATGATAGCAGGAAACAGACTACATGACACAAATTGGTAAAATATTGACGTTCATGCAGCATCTTCAATTATGAAAGCCCACTATCCCATCTCTCTGGGCAGTGTAGCATTGATTATTGCACGATTTCAGCCTGTTCGGTAGATCCGCCTCCTCCGATTGCAATTATATACCCCTCCATTGCAGCATACAGTCTCTCAGTCCTACCAATATGCATGTATTTTCTGCTCAATCATGAAATGGAGAATGCTACGATGTACTCTCCATGTACTATATTCCCCCTCTCTCTCTCTCTCTCTCTCTGTCTCTCTCTCTCTGTCTCTCTGTCTAACTTTTGCTGTATTTCTTGCTATCAACTCGCTTTCACTCATTTTGCTTCCACTCCTAAATCCTCCTTTAATTAAGTTTCTAAAATAGTTTGGCCTATCTTTCCATTCCTTTTAATTGTCTATTTGTCTCTATCCTTTCTCTCTCCCTCTATATGTACCACTCTTTGCCTGTCTCTCCCCATCTCTCTTTTTCAATGAATCTTTCATCTAGACTCCACTCCCTTTAAAGACTGATATGTTTCCATTTATCTTCTTTTTCTTTCAAAGCTAGCTCTGAACACTTTTTACCTCATAACACTACAATTACTGCGTTGCTAATTTGCTATCTCAAGACTACACCTCCCTCATCAACTTTCTATAACATATTCTTCCCCGTTCTCATTTTCTCCAACCCTCTCTCTCTCTCTCTCTCTCTCTCTCTCTCTCTCTCTCCTACTCGCCTCCTCCCCCTCTCTCTGTTTCTCTCTCTCTCTCTCTCTCTCTCTCTCTTTCTCTCTCTCTTTCTCTCTGCATCTCACTTTCTCTTCTATTCAAATGCCATGTGCAACTCTTTTATTTTTTTCGTTGGGTCAATTTCACTAGCTTTCTCTATTGCCTCTGGTGTGTTTTTGCAGACAGCGAATATATGCAGCATGCAGCACTCCGTTTGAGCTCTGCCGCAGTGTATTTGTTTGTGCAGCCCGGAATTAAAATAAACCCTCCTTTTCTTAGTTATAGTTTGTTTTTTTCCTTCTTCTATTTCTCTGAATGCAATATGGTTTAGATAAACAGTGATGCACACCATGAGCTGGCGAGTGTTGATTAAATTCCACATTTTTATTTGTTCCTTTATGTCATCTATTCCTTTTGCAATTCACTGAGCTCACATGTTGGCAATGATAGAGCCTGTCGTCAACAAATGTGCCCTTTTCCTCCATCAAGGCTGGTTTTTCATTCTGTAACCAGTTTTCCTTGCATACATCTCTGGTAGTTTATGGAATTACTTGTAACTTGGTGATTGTTGATGTTTTCATTACAAGCTACTGCATGATTTTTAAATCCTATTTTTTATAAAAGTATTTTCCGTGAGCTCCTACCTCCTTTCTCCATCTACCCACACCCTTTCATCCAAACACCTCCGCCCAACAATCTGTACTAAGACTTACGTTCAGGTTTCATGCCCACATCGAGGCATTTCTGGAGTCGACAGGCCGGGCAGTGCCGCCTGGTGTAGAGGTCCATCACACAGTTTCCATTGGCTTCGCAGGTAAACTTTGCCTTACTCTTGATCTTACGACCGAAGAAACTTTTACAGCTCTCACACGAGACCACCGTGTAGTGCAGACCGCTTGCCTTGTCGCCGCACACCAGGCACTTCTGCTTGGAGTAGTCCACCGACATTTTCTCAAACCTGGATAAAAGATAAAGAAAAAAATAGGATGGGTTACTTAATCAGTCAATCAATGATTAATATAATCAATTGTGAGGAGGGTACAGACAGTTTGAAAGAAATGCAGACATAAAATTCTGCCACGGAGTATGATAACACTGAATTTGTAGACAAGCCACAACAGACAAGTGATTACAATACGCACTAAGAAAGACATACATAAAGCAGAAGCTTAATTTTTAATTCACACATATCTCATGGCAGATATGAAAAAGCATAATCTGCATACAATACACTAACTTTTGATTGAAAACTTAGTTCAATGCCCCTAAATATTTCTACACATTCTTTTCCATTTTTTCCCAAACGTGTGAACACAGAAATGCGAGTCAACAGAAAAAAAATAAAACTGATGAGGGTAAAAGTCTTGGGACATAAACAACGCAGTTTTCATAAACACTCTTCTATGATAATTGATGAAATCAACGGAAATGGAAACATATGCTGTAGGATGAATCAACATCCCCTGCTGAAAATCAGAAGGACATTATCTCAACTCATTCTATATAGTGTTAATGCCCTTATGGCTCTAAGTAGATGACATATACCCAGACAGCGTAGGTTATGAACCCTTTACACTTCACAAGCCACTGACTAGGGGAGACAAAAATGATGTCCCACCAGACCATTCCTGCGTCCACAAATCTTTAGATGGGCATTTCGGCATTTCTATTTCATCAAATTAAAGCCCAATCTAGCTAATACTTGGTCAGGAAGTCCAGCTTCTAGCTCCCGCTACATTTGCTGTTTTTAAAAGCTACATCAATACGTCTCCTTCCAAAATATGAGCAGTGGTGGGGGAGGAAAGAAAAGTAGAGCAATAAATTTCTTGTTAAGAGTGGATGTCGGCTGGTAAGTGCACACGTTAAGGCTATGGGTTTGACGAGACAACTGCATGATATGGACAGATAACTAATGTGCAAGTCTTTTTCTGGATGCTTCGGTAAAGGCACTTTGCGAGCCTGAATTATGTCTTGAATGTTTTATCATGCATTAGCAGTATCATCACATCTTCCATTTGCAGCATATCTCCACACCTTGATATTTCAACTTTCCCCCCGTAGAAAGCGTTCAAGAGCTTCATTACAAAACAATCAGAGGCACCTATCTGCCTTTCTGTCCCTTTTTTAATTTTTATTCCACACTCTCTTAATCCAAAATATTGGACTCTGACTGACCTTCTCATATTCCTCCTCATCATCTTTCACATCTCACTTTCTATTTTCTCTGTCATCCTGTCCTTTTATACATGCCTCACAGTGAGAATGTTAAAATTTATTCTTCCACTCTGATTTTCTTGTGTCATTCCTTCTTTCCATCATTCCCCCTCACCCCCACTCCTCTTTCACCCTGGTGGTTCCCCCATTCCTTATTACCCCTCTCCCACTCCTCATCCTCTTCTCGACACCCCCTCCCCTCCCCTTTTCCTCCCCTTCTATTACCCGTTTCCTGTGTGTGCCTGCATAATGCAACGGCAGTGATGATATCCAAATGTCATATTGACAAACGAATGATTCTTGCTTTGGTCAGGAACATACAAATGCAACCTTTCGCTTTTAACCAAAAGCAGCTTCACATCTGCTTTCAACCGCTGCAGCAAATCGTGTATAGCGGACGGTCTTGTAAATGAGGGGGAAAGCTAACATATGTCTCTCACTCTCTTGGCTTGCATTCAACAGTGTATGACGGTTCATCACACCTACAAACGTTGGAAAGGACTACAGAGATTTTTGTTTTTCCACATTTCATCTCATACCTTGAAATCGGTTTTGATCAATGTATATATTTGGAGTTAGCAAAGAATCTTTTTGATGACAAGGTTCCAAATATAAACAGAAATGGTTTGGATCAGTCTTGATTGTAAACCTGAATATAGACAGCACCTGGTCTTTTTCAGAATCAATAACTATTTATCATTACCTGATATGAAATCAACTTATTTCTTCAAGGCAGTTGCCAAGTCACATATCAATATTTGGGCTGGTATTTGGTTAATGTTTTGTAAGACATAGACATGACATGGAATATATGATACGGGGTGGTTTAAAATATTCCTGGAAGTAGTATGACGTCCATCAAGGATTATGTTTGCATTTCTAACAGGATCTGCAGGGTGGTATTTTGTGTCAAATTCTGATCAAACCCAAGCGGATAAAATCCATCTAGACTGTTGCTTTAGTACAATGTAGACATAACATCTCTGTATTGCACCTGCAATAATATGCCCGATCATGGACTTGCTAAGATGGAGATGAAAAAAAGAGAGAAAAATCTGTTATTGTAGACTTTGGCACCTAATTGCGAAATACAATCAGGTCGAAAGGCCATTCAGAGGGAGGGAGAAGTTGCTGCTACCAGTGTATGGTGTCTTTAAGAAGCAGTTGGCGAAGGAAAACAGAAGGGTGACAAAAACCAGGGGGTTGGGATTGGAAGAATGTGTGAGATTGAATGTTTGTCAATGAAGATTTCCCAGCAATCCTTAATACGCAAATGCACAATGTTGCTTACTCATACGAGCATGCACAATTAACAGACCTGTTTCTATCGGTTTGAAGAAAAGAAATGAGAAGAGCATAAAAAGCTAAGAAAAACATCCCTTCGTCCACAAAAATGGGTCCAATTCATCTGGTACTTTATGAACACATGAGATGCAGAACAGAGGTGTGAAAGGAGAGCTAACCACTTTTTAAAGTGCCAACTGGCAGTCAGAGAAAAAAAGAGAAGAGAGAGAAAAGGGGAAAAAGATAAGAGGGGGATTTTGTTGATATGGCCTACTGTGTCAAAACTGCAACAAAAGAGAGCCCATTTTACACATGGATGGATGAATAAACCGAGTTTTCTTTTCTTTCGAGGCGAGCGAGTTGCAGAGTACTATCGTCTGCCCCAGCTTGCATTGAGAGAAGGGCTAGCTACTCACACAAGTAGAGCATGCATAGTCACACTGTAAGAGAAAGAAACACTTGCAGACAAGCGCTTGCTTGCTTGCTTGCTACCCTGCATGGCATGCATGCCAGCCAGCCAGCCAGGCAATGTTATTCTTTGGTCACAGAAGTCATGGCACTTTATTCGCAGCAGATCAAGAAAGCGGAATCGAAGACATGATTCCACATGATAGATCCTCGATCTCGGTGAATATTTTGCTTCATTCTTGATGAGGTATTGACGTTCAGTCAATGTTTGATCATGTGGACTTTTGAAGAACAACATGCGAGGTTCAAGATCGAGCAGGAGGGGGGAATGGCAGCAGAAGAGGGGTGGGGATGTCCAGGAAGGGGGGGGGGGGTGATGTGATGAGGTAAGGTAGCAGTTTTCATAGAGGTGCAGGAATGAACATTGGGTATAAGGGGAAGCAAAAGCAGGCAGAGAGCGCGGTAGGAGAATCAAAGATGGCAGCTGCCCAGTGGGGCACGACCGTAATTGTACGGTGACACGACGCCCCCTGCTGTTGAGACGATACTCACCGACACGGACACCCCCAAAACTCCGCTCACGGGGTTTATGCACTTTAGGGATATTCTAGCAAAGTAAATATGTATTTAGAGAAGAAAAATCACGCAGGAGCTATGCCCGTCATGCCCCCTCTGTGACAGAAAGAGAAAAGATTGGGTGAGACCACACCGGTCCAGGGAGAGAGAATCAAAACTGGAGATGTCAGAATGTCATCAAGTTTTTCTTGAATGGTTATCAAACTGATGAAATATCTACAGGAGAAGAGTTGATGACATGCAGATGTTATTACTATTGATCAATTAGATAGCGCTTCACAGTCAGGGGTATACATTCATCATAGATAGAAAGGAAAAGAGGACGGATTGAAAGAGAAATGTTCCAGCGCTATGTAACCACTGTCACAACTAGCATTTACATTGTTACACATGAAGATCTCTATCTATAGGCATTCAATTCAACAAGTATAAGAGACTTGTGAATATGTGATACATTGATGCTTTTCTTCATGACTGATAAAGAAAGAAAGAATAATGAAATGTACAAAAAGTTAAAATCAAAGTTGCCTTGAAAAAAAAATTCACTAAAGATCTCTTCTATGCATTAACAAAAAAAGGTTCAATAGAGTATTTTTAATTTTATTTGGAAAAGGGGAAAGAGAGACAGTAAAATTTCCCACAATGATTAGAAGTTTGATTAAGAGTATGATCTGATGAAATTCCATTTTATAATTACACGGTCATAATAAGACTGAGATACATATCTTTGGCTTTACTTCTACACATTTAGGCAGTCAACAATCAACCCGGGGAGTTAAATAGTCTGGTCAAACAACTTCACCCGACTTAACAAAACAAGGGGGGGGGGGAGGGCACTTTGGAGTTCTCTGCACCCTATCAATACTGTCGTCATGGACACCTATTTAGAAGGGAAATAATATATTTAGGGGAGATTATTGTTTGTGAGTAACCTACTCGCAACAAAAGAAACTAGGTCTCCGCTACTCACGTGAAAGATGTGGAATGCCACGGAATTGAATAGATTAAAAAGAAGAGAAGGCAACGTCTATGCAGCTAGTTACTTATCAAAACATTACATATAATAAAATAAAATCCACCTCTTTAGGGGAAAGCTTGAGAGGTGAAAATTACAGAATGAAAAAGGAGAGCCCTCAAAATGAGGCAGGGGAAAAAGTAGCGGGGGAAGGTACAATGGATGGAAGGAAGGGAAAAAATATGCTACGGGGCATTTACAGCTTAGTAGGGCCAACTTTTTTTTTTGCTGGGTTCCTTTGAAAGCGGTTGTGGGAGAGAGAGAGAGAATGGGTAGGAGTAGAGAGGGAAAAGGGGTAGAGTATCTATGGAGGGAATTAAAAACTATAATACAATGACTTGTTATTGTTGTTTAGAAAAACATACTTTTATTCCAAGTTGCAACCCTGAGAGAGAAAGCAGGCTGTCAAAACAACAATCTGAATCAAGGGCTCAAAAGTGCAACACCTTTTCATTCTTCAACCCCCTCCCTACTCTCAAAC